GTGTAATGTTAAGTCATGGATTGAACAGAAATATGAACAATTATAAAATACTTTATTATTTCATAATAAAGTAATTATAAAATAATTTCTTTGTGTTTATTTGATTCCTATTCAAGAGAATTACTTTATATATAGTCAATATAGGCACAGAGGTAAAAAATTTTAACATTTTCTAATGGTGGTGTGCCTCGTGATTTTTTTCATGAAAAAAGTGTGCCTTTGCACAAAAAAGGTTGAAAAACACTGGGATAGAGTATAGAAGGTTCTGATAGCACAAAGTGCACACAGCTCAGTATTACGTATGAACTCTTACAGTGTCTGTTTTTATAATTTGGCATCATTTAAGCTATGGGCACTTTGTGTCATCAGAACCTACTATACACTGCCCTAAGTATCTTATGTGCCTGACGACAAAGGTAATTTCGCTCTGTTATGTCAAGCCGTCCAATACTGGTGAGTGTTGCTGATAGTATATTGTTCATATCTTTTACCTTGAATTATAAGTAGGGTACCTTTTATTCACCTGGCTGCTGTCACTCCTTATTAAGACTCTTTCACCTTGTTGTAACTCGGTGTTGAGCATGGTAACCACATGTGTTTTACCTTATGAATAAAGATTTAATGTTTGCCTGCTCAAATATGTTGATAAAGTAAAAACAATTTATGTAATGTACATACTTTTTTACATAATTGATTTGAATTAGTGTGCATCATAAAGCCCAGATACATTTTCAACTCCCTCACCAAATCCTAATTAATTTGGATATCACATGGATGGGATAGAAAACAGAGTTGCCTTATTGCTGCCTGAGGGCATGAATCTGGTGTTTATGAGCTTTACAGTGTTTACCGGATAGTGAGCTGGAAATTCAATTTTGTCACATAATGCTTACTCAGTTGAAACACTCTTTTCTTTACTTGAATGGGAAAAGAAAAATGTAGGGAAGGCTATTTTACCAGTTATTTAAAGTAGATGTACAATATAAACATAGGTAAACCCCCTCAATGCTCTATTCAGACCTGAGCTTCTTAATTTCTTAGTTCCTAACCTAATGTGCATGACCCCCCCCCCTCTAAAAAAGCTTATGATGCTGACTAGTGCAGGTATAGTGCTGATATTCAACTGGCTTAGAGAAAAGGGGTGCATATAGAGAGGAGGCTGAATGGAGGCTCTGATCTGAGGTCTGATTTATAAACTCTAGGGTATGGGAAATTTTTAAAAAAATTAACAAACGCATACATAAATCAACAATAATAAACAGCGCAAAAAACTTTAGTTTTGATCAAGATCCATTAGGGGTAAAGTCTCAACATACCCTTTTCCCTACCTATACGGAGTGGATTTCCATCCCATCAGAGCTACTACAATAACAAACAGTCTGAAGGTCAACTCGTGTGTATCCAAAAATGCAACACTACCAAAAAAGGGCATATGTCAGAGCAGAAGGAGGACCAACCCGGGGCACCTTAGGAAAGAAAATTAAAAGAAAACAAAAAAAAAGCACCCAGTATATCCATGTGCATCTCGGTTCTTCAAATCGCCCAGTAGTAACTGAAGGACCTGAGCACCTAATCTCTCCATCTACCCAAATCTTTGTAGGTCTTCGTAGTTTGAAATACTGTCCAGTCAAGCCACATAGTGTTAAAAAAGCTAAGCCTGTCCTGTTTAGAAAGCAAGATGGATTCTATCTCCTGGATAAAGTCAACCTGATTAAACCAATCCTTTATGGTTGGAACCTCGTAGTTCTCCAGTGTCTCAGAATTAATGAGCGAGCCATATTTATCAAGTGTGTTGCAAGAGATTTTACTGAGTTATTATTAGGGTCATCATCCACGTGCAAAAGTTAGTTAGCAGGTGTAAATGCGCGTTGACTTCCTGTAACACTGTTTATGAGAGAATGCACAGTTCTCCAAAAAACAGCAATGACAGGACCAAAACACATATACCAGGGATCCCTGTCCCCCATGGCATCTCCAACACTCAGAAGGTATTTGAGGATAAATCTGATGAAGGAGCGATGGTTTTCTATACCAGAATTATATAATCTTGTAGTTGCGGTAAATAAACATTTGTGAGCCGAGATACACACATCACGCCATTGGGTCTCCGAAAAGGAAACCTGCAGTTATTATTCCCATTTTAAGTTGAAGTTTTGGATCTGGTTGCAATCTAGAGCTCTCAATAGAGAATATAGCCATGAAACCAGATGGGTTTGCAGTCCCTTACCCACACAAAGCTTCTTAAAAAGTGTCAAGATGTGCCTGTCGTTCCCTCTTCAGCTTCGTGGCTAGAGAGATAAATTCCCCTCTAATATAACATTTATGGGCTTCCCATATGCTTGTTGGGGATACATCAAAAGTGTAATTAGTGCTGAAGGAGGAGGCCAGGGAACTTTTGACTCTGAAAGGTGTCCAAATATCTGTCAACAAACGTGTTGAGGACCCAGTTCCAATGTTTAAAGTCCTTCTGTGGAAGCTCCAGCCTCATAGTGATAGGGGCATGGTCTGATGTAGTGATGTTTCCAATCTTTGCCTCTGTGAGTTTGGGAAGGTCTAATTGAGATAAAAAAATATAGTAAATTTTGGAAGACTTATGAATGTGCAAGTAGTATGTGTAGTCCCAGGCCTTGGGATTGACAGTGCGCCTAGAATTGACCAAGATAAGTTCAGTACATTTTTTCCTAATAGAGTGTAACGCTCGGTGCGAGATAGGGAAAGTATCTAGTAATGCATTTAGAGCAAGATTAAAGTCCCCGCCAAGTATCAGAATGCCAGATTGGAAAGAATGTAGTTTAGTTAGCGTACTTTTTAGAAAGAGGACTTGGCCACTGTTGGGCGCATACACACTGGCAATTGTAATAAGGGTTGACCTAATTTTACCCTTTAAAAAGAGAAATCTACACATGTGAGAAGTTTATTTAAAGTTTAAAGCCCAATTTAGGTTTAAGAAGGAAGCAGCAGGATACATTCCACAGTGTGTAAAATTGTAAGGTTCAAAACATAGAAGAGTCATGGCAAAAAAGACCAAGTGGTCCACCAAGTCTGACACATTTTTGATTTTTCTTTTAACCTCTTTGTCTGAGTATAGCTCTATGATAGTCCCAAACATATTAAAATTCACGTACTGTTGACTGACTTGCTACCTCTGCTGGAAGTTTTAAACATCTTTCTGTAAGGAAAAAAAAACATTTTCTAAGGATAGTTCATACAACTATTTGTTGCCTGTTTGTCTTACTCGGATTAGTAGGAAATAAATCACCGGCAACAGCCCAAAATCCATGGTACAGGAAGCAGGGTGCAGAAAAAGGCTGCTGCACTCTGTGTGAGAGCAGGAGCTTCTATACAGCGGTTTGATACGCTCCTGCTGAGTCGCAGCATGATCTCTCCAATGAGCAGGGAGTGTAAGAATTAGGGATGCACCGATACCAATACTAGCATCGGTATAGATGCCGAATATTTGGCCTAGTACTCGTACTCGCCCAAATGCTCCTATTCCTAGCCCGATACTTCCTGTATCACGGAAGCCGGGCAGCGCGGCAATACACGCTGCCCGGCTTCCTGATTGGCCGGGAAGTTGGCTTCATGCTCTCCCGTCTCCCGGTGACGAGGGAGCATGGAGCCGCCTTCCCGGCCAATCAGGAAGCCGGGCGCTGCGTCATTGCACGGCGCCCGGCTTCCTGATTGGCCAGAAGGCCGGCTCCATGCTTTCTCGTCACATAGTGACAAGGAGCATGGGGATGGCTTCCCTGCTAATCGGGAAGCCGGGTGGCGAGTTTTTACACGCCGCCCGGCTTTCCGGGTAATCGGGAAGCCAGGTGGCGAGTCATTACACGCCGCCTGGCTTCCTTAACTGAACTTCCGGTATGGGTATACGGTATCGGCGAGTACCGGGGAAAAAAATATCGGCACTCGATACCGAAATACCGGTATCGGTGCATCCCTAGTAAGAATGTTAGCTTCCTGTGTGCTAATTGGTGGAATGGAGGCTATGATCTGAGGTGGTGTTCTTTTTTTTTTTTCTAATCCTGCATGTTGGGATTGGATTGGGGCAGGGCTAAAATACTAAAATGTCATTGCATTCACTATAATTAAAGATTAAAAGTCATGTTTTTTTTATAACTCTTCTACAGAGTGGACATCTTACACTGGAAGACTACCAGATTTGGAGTGTTAAAAGTGCTCTTGCCAATGAGTTTTTAAACTTGCTCTTTCAGGTAAGTGGTGCAAATATTTACATATTTAGACAGTATTTACATTCCCAATTTTAAGAGAAGTAACAGCTGAATAAATATACCTAAAACAAGGAAATCAATTTCAACTGAAGTTGCTCTTTAATATGTCTGTTTGTTTTGGACCGTTAACCTAGCATCTGATTGCTTGTATGTGACCTCCCTATTAGTCCCCGTTTACTCCGTCCTGTTCGGGTAACATGTGTGTTCGTGGGTTGTGGTGCACTTATTCTAACTGGCACCTAACACACCTTGCCAATAGACATAGATTACTGTGCACCACATTGCACAGTAACATATTACCATGCCTTTTAATGTGCTGCATAACAGAATATAGTACATGCACCTTTTTTGTTAAAGGAGAACTATGAGGTGAGTGCTTTTCACTCACCTCATAGTTCTAGCCGACCTGTAACGATGAGACTGTCACAGGTCGGCTCAGTAGATCGGGAGGTGAGCGAACACATACCAGCGTTTGCTCACCTCTTGATCCTGTCACGGCTCTCTGCCGTGACAGGGGAGGGGCTGGATTCCCCCCTCCCCGCTCCGATACGCCAGCGCTAACTGGGGGAACGGACGGGGGAGGGGGCGGGTACAGCTGGCTTTGCCTCTAGATAGGCAGAGCCAGCTGTCAGTCACGCAGCTGGGCGGATCCCGACACAATTGTCGGGATCCGCTTCAGCTGCGGGGCCTCAGTATACCGCAAGCAGCAGCTCACGGTATACTGCGGCCTCTCAGTTTACCGCGAGCTACAGCTCGCGGTATACCGAGCCTAGGGTGACGGAAGGATGCTAGTTTGTGTCCTCCCGTTACCCTAAGGAGAACTATGGGGAAAATACTTAACCCCATAGTTCTCCTTTAAGTTGGGCAGCTCTCAAGCACAGGCGGAACATAAACTGTTTTTGGTTAGACGTCTTTAAATAAGAAATGATTCATGTTCAACTCCCTGCATGTTACAGTAAGTATTACAAGCAGCAAGATGTTTACCTGAGGGATGTTGCACGGAATGGGTGCCAAGAGTTTGTATTCCCATCTAGATGGTGTGAAGGCCATGTTCAAATAGCACTTAGATTAAAGGAAACCTGTACCTTCTATTTAATATGCAATTGGTGACTCTTCCTCTGAAATTGCTAGTTTTCTGGTTAGTTTCTAAGCTGGTGGCTTCAAAAGTTTGAGTCACTGATCACAGGAGTCACAGGAGTGTGCAGATCAGGAGTTATTTCTGTGTGGAATGCTTGTTTTCAGGTCTGTGGCTTGGAAAGTATTGAATAACCAGACTGTCAGTAGTTTTAGAAGGAGATTTTTCTCAGTGCAGTTTCCCTTAAGGTCATTTAAAGCTTAACTCACGTAAAAATACCATTGCAGTCATCCTCTCTGCATTGCATGGGTTAAATGCTTATTAAGCCTAGAGGATGACCACTAAGCTATCAACCTTACCTTATTCCTTGCTATCCCGGCAGCTGACACTTTCTTCCCTGACGCTCCAAGTTCTGGGGAGATCCCTACTGTCCTCGCCTACAATGCAGGACTGCATTGTACATGAGGATGTCCGAAGGCTTGTGACCGGCAAAGGGGAGAGAGTTTGGTGGGCCTCTCGCACAGCATGGTGGTAGCCCACCATGGCAAAAAATAGGGTAAGCATTACGGCTTATTCCTCCACCTCTAAACTTAACAATCATTCAATATATACACATACAATTGTTGGAATAGTTTTTTCCTGGTTGTAAACTTGAACTGTATTAAATTTGCATGTGGATGAAAAATGGTTAACTGTCAATTCAGGAGTTAAAAGTCTCATATCCAATGTTCTTGAATCTGGGTAAATCGCAATATGAAGCATGGTCAGCGTGGGGCTTTGTCTATAGCACACCTTACAGGCTTGCCCACTCAGAGAAGTTAGGTGCTATGGTGAATTGGTGCACCTTAATGCAAGAGTTGTTTCCTTTGCACATTCAGGTTTTAAAAAGGCATCACAGGCCAGAATTTGGGGCATAAATCAATCAGTCACTTTTCAAGTTTTGTGCCTATCCATATGCTTGTGGGAAGTATAAGAACAAAGCCCAGCTGTGTATCTGGCCCATATTATTGTTCTGTTGACTGTCAAAAAATACACAACACATAAATATCAGTACGTTGTTGTATATTTAGAGGAATATGTCAAACAAAACAATTCATTAGTGTTGAATTAGGTCATCAGTTACAGTGAGGCAATCACTTGTTTTTTTGTTTATTGCTGCATAAATGCTTATTTAAAGGGTTGCTTTCCACCTTAAATGAAATTAGGGCTGCAACAACTAATCGACATAATCGATTATTGAAAAAGTTGTCAACTTTTTCAATAATCGATTAATCGGCTTCTGATTGGTTGGCCCTGTTCACGGCTCAACACACGCTGAGCGCCACACCTCCTCCCCACCTCACGCTCGCCGCTGCCAGACCTGCCCGAATCCACGCTCCCGCACCTCCTCCACGCCTCATGCTCACCGGCCGTCCAAATCCACGATCGGCACAGGGACGCGGGGAGAAGAAGTAAGGAGGAGCAGGTGTGTGGGGGATGACAGCCGCCGATAGACAGGCCCGATCTCAGAAACAAGTTGCTGGAAGACTGTTCAGGTAAGCCTGCACTCCCACCCACACATGGCGCTCTATAATGTATTGCTGGGATATGTATTCCTCTATAGCTGATGGTACATTGTGCTGTATATTATACAGAGCAATGTACCATCAGCTATAGAGGAATACAAATCCCAGCAATACATTGTACACTGCATGTATAATGTTTTGCTGGGATTTGTTGTACTCCTATATAGGCGGTGGTATTCTGCATTGCACTGTATAGAGGACTACAAATCAAGGAATATCACCAGCTATAGAGGAGTACAACAAATCCCAGCAATAATACATTATACAGTGGTGCAATGCCGAATACCACCAGCTATAGAGGACTACAACACCCAGCAATAGTACATTATACATTGCAATGCAGAATACCGCCAGCTATAATGTACTATTGCTGGGATTTATTGTATTCCTCTATAGCTGGTGGTATTCTGCATTCATTGCTGTATAATGTTACACTTTTCATTTCACTATATTGTACACCACACTTTTTTTTTTCTTTTTTACTTCTACTGCTCCAAGCTTGCTTCTGTGATGGACTACAATCTCAATACTAACTAGAAGTCCCATCACTGGAGCCATTTTTAAAAATGTATTTTATTTTTTATCCGATTAACCGATTAATCGAACTTAATAATCGGCTAACTAATCGATTTTGAAAATAATCGTTAGCTGCAGCTCTAAATGAAATGGTGTATTTTTTATATATGGTCTGCCTAAGCGAAATCTGTACAGTTTCATTATATCTAAGTGATCACAATACAGTAGGAGATTTCAGCAGCAAATAAAATAAAACTTGTTGCTTCCAGTCCTGCGGACATGGAGGGGTGGACCTCTGTTTTACTATACACTGTGTTAGAGTTGCATGTAAATTTTTAACAAAAGTCACAAACAAACACAAACAGTCACAGACCTATACAATAACAATTGAGCATACAGTGGAATAAAAAACAAGCGCAGAAGTCACCTTTTGTAAAAACTACATGTCAAAATGATCAGTATATACAGATATATAGCCAGCAGATGCAGTGGCATGGCAATAGTCAAAGTAGCCCACGCAGCTGCTATGGGGCCTGGGGGGTGTAAAATGGGCCCTGGCCTATAGCAGCCATGATCGTGTTATTGTCTTTTTTTTTTAGCAGGCAATGCTTGTTAATTACTAGTTATCTGGGCTTACAGTCACCCAGTAAATTTGTAGCAGCCTGCTAATGTGCTGGACACACACAGTGTGGTTTTCGGTTCCCCCGCTCCTCTGGGGGGCCCGGGACCACAGCAAACTGTGTCAGGAATAGAGAAAGGGAGCAGACCAAGGAAAGTCAATTCCCCGATCTGCTCTGTGATAATGAAGCAGGGACCACTGTGTTGAGTACCATAGTTTTTCACTATTGCACAGGCACACGCAATTTTTATAAGGCTGACATGTTTGGTATCTGTTTACTCTACGTTACCCAGTCTTCTTTATTTTTTATATTTTTAACCTAAAAAATTGGGTGTTATAATGTGTTTGTGCGCACTGAAATTCATTTTAACCCCTTCGTGACTGACGACAGTGTACGTCGCCAGCATCGGGGCTGTTTAAACAGACTCCCGGCGACTTTTGCCACCGGGACTCTGTTTAAACTTGTAGAGCCGACTGTCGGCTTTACAACAGAAGCGATCCTGGCGACTTACCTGTCGCCAGATCGCTTCTGCGTCCCGAAGAAGGGGCCGCCCCCCCCAATAGGGTCTTGGCATTCAGAAAAGATATAATGTTGGGGGGTTTTACTTCATTTTCAGGCCTAAAATGTGGAATATAACATGGGTGCAAAAATGGAAAAAAGGGCCTCAGTCATGAAGGGGTTAATGGGTTTTTTCCCCCCGTAAAAATATCAGTTTGATAAACATTTACGCAAATATTGTGCGATGTAAAGAAAAATACAGCTACTATTTTTTTTCTATTCTACAGGGCATCTGCTTTCAGAAAATATATATTATTGTTTGGTGTTTGTTTAAAGTAATTTTCTATGCAAAAATATAGATTTTAGCCTGTATGTGAAGACATTTAAAAATTGCTCTGTACTAAGGTGGTTAAGGCAGTGTGATGGTGTGAACAGTGCACATAGTAAACAATTGTTTTCTGTGTTCCCTTGTAGTGACTGGTGTTGATCAGGTGGTGAATAATGCCAGTCACCGCACATTGTGTGAATGAGCCCTAACTGAAAGGTTACCAGACATTCTGAACACAGTGATGGAGTCAATTTAAAAGACATTGCCTACTGGATTCTCCCACACACACTCCCTAGAGTAAAAGTCACTGTCAGAGGGTTTAAGAGTATTTCATTTGATTTGTAATCTATCTTTGTAATACCGCCTTATTTTGCTTTGTTGTATTTATGTTAGGAGTGATCTCAATCCACAGACATGCTTTTAAATAGCAGCAAAGTATAGATCTCTGTGTGTAATTTGATAGCCCTTCCAGTTTCTAGGAGCAGGTGTAAGATGTTGATTACTGTTGTATTAGAAATGCTATTTGTTCTGTAGGAGGCGAAGTGACGTATAAACCTCTTTTCTTTTCTCTGTTGGGCGCTTGAGTGTACTAAAATTAGTGTACTACAATTCATGTCTGTGTGCTGATTAGGGAGCGATCAATTAACAGCTGCAGTTATATTTCCCAGCATGAAAAATCAGTTATTACATGTTGACACTTTTTTGACTTGACAAAAATGCAATCTGAAAAACGTTAGCCGTTTATCTTTGCTAATTTTTCATCTCAAGGTTTTAATGGGTTTTAAAAGTAGATCTATAGTCCCGGAGAATTTTAAACAGTCTAACTACAATGTAATTGAATTACTCATGCACACACTCACTCACATTTGTTTTGTGAGGTTTTGCTTCAAATGGAGAACTTTCTAAGGACCTAGTCCACTCAGAAGGATGCGTTTTCGGGCTTCTTGCCCATTTTCTTTTATCCAAACGTTAAAGTGACGCAAGGTTTTGGCCACGCAGGTGTTGTTTATTATAGCAACAATCACAAATGTATTTCACTCTCCTAGCTATTTTGCCACACAGCTCTATTTATTCCTCCTCAGGACAGAGTTGCCCCAGTCTTGACCTTTTTGGTGAACTGGTTTCTTCAGCCACCAGACCGGATCTATTGTCTACTCACATACAGACTGCTACGTGCTTAGCTCAAACAAACCAGTTTGTTCAGATGTGGACTACCTCTGTCCCTTCACAATCTTTCAGGCGTTAGTCTGGCTCAGCCACCTGTCTGTGTAGGCCAGATAGGCCTGGGCACACTCCTCATGTTTTAGGCTTCAAGATGGACATTGGAGTTCTGCCTCACTAGAAAACACTGTCTTTTGTTGGCAACAGCGACTTAACTTTATACCTGTACACTATGTGTACCCTTACACAGTCTTCCTGCCACAGTACGAATATTAATACAAGAATTTCCTTAAAGGCTGGATTCACACTTGCACTGCAGCAATGAGAGAAAAAACGCATTATGCACATTGGTGTGCTGCTGTGCTATTCATTCTTAATGGCCAGTGTACCTGCATTGCAGCACACCGCAAGGCTTGGTAACAAACTGTCATGCATTGTAGTGCCTGCTTAACTAAAAAAAGTGCATGCCCCTTTTTTTGGTCCACTAGTCAGCTCATTCAAATGACTGGGTTGCCTTAATACAACACACATTGTGCACCGCAACAGCATGCATTCAGAGAGGCTATTACAAATAACTCTTACTACAATAAAGTTGTCTGTACACCACTGATTTTTCTTCTTGGCCAATCTGTAAGTTAGTCAGATCATCATCAGTTGAATACTGTTGTACTGCATCAACTTTCAAGGCTTAAAGGAGAACTATGGGATAAGTGTTTTTCCGCCTAGTTCTCTTTAGGGTCACAGGAGGACATATACTAACCTCTACCTGTGACCCAAAGCTCAGTATATAGTGGGCTATTGCCCACTATAAACTGAGAGTGCCGCAGCTGGGATAGATCCAGGCAATACTGTCGAGATCCACCCAGCTGCATGAGTGACAGCTGGCTCTGCCTATCTAGAGGCAGAGCTAGCTGTGCCCTCCCCCGTCCGTTCCTCCCCTCAGCGCTGGAGGATCGCTGACAGTCACCTCTCACTGCAGGGAGAAGATCGGGAAGTGAACAGATTGGCTGCATCTTTCTGCTCACTTCCCGATCAATAGAGCCGACCTGTGACAGCTTCTTTGTCAGAGGTTGACACTAACTATGAGGCAGAACTCATTAAAGCACTAACTATTAAAGCAGAACTCCAGTAAAATATCAAAAGTCCTCAACATTTTAAGCTGAACTCCAGATATAAATTATTATGCATACTTACATTGGTCCAGCTTAGCCCAATGCAAACATACATATGTCATACCTGATTTGCCGCTGGGGATCCTGTAAAGCACTTTAGTAACTGAAGCTACTACTGTACTGGCTGCGATCTTTTGGTCCTGGTACTGTGCCGTGCTGAGCAGCTCCCCCTCTGCACTGAAAACATACGGCCCGCTTGCTCAGCAAAGTGGCTCTTCAGAGAATGCCTGGTATTTTTATCAATGAATTAAAGGCATTCTCTGATTGGATGAGGGGCAGATTATGATGTAACGACTCCTCAATCAGAAATACATGCACATACGAACACAAACGTGCATGTATGTAAATTACACGGTAGGTATCCCCTGGCATGCATGAGAGAAATAATTATAGGGCCAGTATTTAAAGGATTACTTTTAATTGAAGAGCTGTAAATGTTTTTAAATTTGCCCTATTGACAATTATGGGTATCATAGTGTCAGGAACCGAATCTGAACCCGGGGCCTCTGCTGTAGCTGGCAGTGGTTCTACCTGCTGAGTCACCTAGAACCTTGGATAGCTCCTTGTCTGACCTCCTGTGTAATCCTCAGTTAAACCTAGTTTCTGCTGAACTCTGAACTCCTTGCTCCTCCCTTGAACTTCCTATTTAAGCCATGCCTCTGCACTTCCTGTTTGCCAGATTATTGTGCTCCTGCCAATATCTTCTTTGCTCCTCCTGTGATACAATCCGCTCTTACTGCTACCCGTGTACCGACCTTTGGCTGCTGTTCACCAACTACTCATCGTCTTCCATTTCATACCTGATCCCTTTGACTACTGACCTCGGCTTGATCTCTGACTACGCTTCTGCCTGCTCCTATACTACTACCATCTGCTTGAGTCCCGAACTCGGCCTGTTTGACTACGACTTTGCCTGCTGTTTTCAACTACTGGACTCCGAGCCTGATCCAGATCGTGACACATAGCTTGTCACTATTTCATGGGCACATGCAATAGTGGACTTCTCTGATATCTCGGGGACCACTGACAAGAACGACATACCTACTACTGACAGCTGCAGATAGAATAATTCAACTTTATCTGCACTCACAAAACAACAACAAAATGTAAATACACTGCAATATTAGATTGTAAATACGAGCTCAGCTACCCTAAAACGTATTGGACACCATTTATATTTATTCAGGTATCACTTGCCATTTTTTTAAAATCGTTCGTTTGTTATATGCTTTAGGAAACATAATCTCTAAGATTTTTTGTGATGCTTCCCCTGAAGGAGTCTGACGCTTGAATTCAAGAGCGCTGCATATACGCTCTAAGCTTAAATGCTACTATGTACATGGAAGCTGCTTATCATGCTGTGAATGCTTTGGTTTATGTATGTCTTTGTCAGAGTCAAATGATCCAAGAAGCTGAGCATCTGCTCTATACAAGCGTTGATTGTGCCTGGAAAAGGATAAGTCAGCTTTATATAATGTGAGTAGCTCTTTGCTGATGCCAGTTCACTGCTGTTAAACGGAATGCTATGGAAATGCAGTAAGGCAGTCATTGTAAGGAAAGAAAGCTCTACCAGCGTTGAAGAAAATAAGTTATCACTGCCCTATAGAGGATTTTCTATTGCTTATTTGCAGTGATTTGTTCTTTTATATTGCACTGATTAGTATGGGAATTTGATGTAACTTTTTTGAGTATATATACTGTTTACTCGTAGTAATGGAGAGGGCAATGGGAATGGTAGATTCAAAAGTCTTAATAGAAAATGTATACCTAATTCAGTGGCACAGTGGTGTTATTTCTATGATTGTGGAACCGAGAAAAGATGTGTGTGGATTATAGAACTACTTGTGGTGATACAAAGTATAAGAATAAGGTTTAAAAATTATTTGGAAGAAATAAATGTTATTGGAGGTGGTTATAACCAGAGAGGTGTTTGAATGATATGAACTGTAAAAAGATGGTACACATGCCAGGAACAATTGCATCTTAGAACTGCTTATTCTTCATTTTTCTCTTGTTGAGCTCAGTGTCTTAGTCTCAATCCTTTATGAAGGTAATTCTGTATTTGCTATATAGTGCAAGTTAGGTCAAAGAAGTATCAGTAAGGGTGTGGATTTTTCTGCCTATGATCAACCAAAACCTTCCGCACATTGGGGTTCCAGAGGTTCTGGCACACCTGTTAGAAATGTGGTAACAGAGTCTCTTTAACAATTTGTTTTTATGTCCAGCATCATTTTACAAGCTGTTTGAAACATTGTTTGCCCAAAAGCATTTTTAGTTGTCTTTGAAGATAAACATTCACTTTCTATAAAGGTTGTGATTTATTCTATCATCTGCCTTTATAGGTTTGCCACATAGTCTTGGGTTTAAGGCCAGCTACCCCAGAAGAAGAAGGACAGATAATCAGGTATACCATTATTATTAATGACTCTTTTTCTTCCTTCTCACTCTTATTTTGAAACAGTATTTATCAGAGTTTGTATTCTGGTTTGCAGGGGATGGTTGGAACGTGAGAGTCGGCATGGCCTCCAAATTGGACATAACTGGTTTCTTATCTCTATGCAGTGGTGGCAACAATGGAAGGAATATGTCAGATATGTAAGTGCAATGTTAAAGTGTATGTAAAACCTAGCTATGACCTTTTCTTATTTGCTTAATTTTGGTCTGTTAAATATACCACCAGAAGTGTTCTGTTATGTCTGTTGATTTTGCCTGCAATCTTGGGAGCTGACCTTCCTGTGCTCTCTGTCTATGCACAAAGAGGGGTTACAGGGATTTAGAGAGGTCAGTGTTCTTTGTAATCCATCAGAAGTGAAGTAGGCAGGGATGACAACATGTGCTTTGGAATTCAGGGCTGACAGGGAATTCAAGTGCTGACACTGTTCTTCCTTCTGGAGGATGGCTACTTTTGTTCCCCATGGTCCCTGTGTGGTCTATCTTGCTCCCATGATGGGCTACAATCTCAATACAAATTAGTAAATGAAACGTGAGATTATTAGTAGATTAAACGTGAGCTTGGAGCGGTGGCTACTTTACAACACACAAAAATAGCCATCCTCCAGAAGCAAGGACAGTGCCAGCACCAATTCAGAGTGTTTAATGTCAACTGCTAGTGATGACACTTATTTGATTATATACTTATTATCCCCTGGGTCTCATAATTTATATTAATGCACATTTGTTTTCTATGTAGTTTACAAAGTATTTTTTTAGTTTAATTTTTTTTAACCAATCAAATCATTTTTATTCTGAAATAAGTGAGCAGCCTCTTGGATTCCTCAAAATGTTAAAATATGACCTAATTGGGGAAAATGTGTGGGGCGCTGGATGGCCAAGTGAAAATTTGTTGTGACAGATTAGTGTAGCAGAGTTTATTTCCAGTGTCATCATTTTGACGTGCATTATCACTAGCCTCAAGGTTGAAACATCTGCATAATTCTGGGAAACATAAAGTCTTATTTTTGTAGTAGTATTGAAAAATGCAAATAGTTCTTCTTGTGGAAGCACATAACTACCAAACTGCATTTTTAATGACTGTATAATAGGTAATAAAATTAGATAGACAATAACCAACATCTTAGTTAAGGTACTGTATATGAAATAGATCACTGGCACCAGTTTACCACCTGGTCAGGAAGTACTCTAGAGAAAGTTGGACTTCGTTGATCTTGCATCCAAAGGGGAATCTCTTGGACATCACAAACTTTGGGGGCAAGTACATCCGATAAAGGGATGGTTGGCAAGGTCTAGACTTTCAGACGTCCCAATCTTTGTTACCTTTTTGGCCTAACGTGACCCTAAATCTCACCCCATATGGTTTCTCAAGGGTTTTTTAATCTGCAATTTACCGCGACAGTTTTGTGATAACCGCATGCCATCAAATAGGTGGTAGTTGCATCTTATACACTTTGTATATAAATTGGTTTGGTTATTTGCTTCCATCCTTACAAAGGACAGCTATAGGTAGGTCCAAAGTTTCCTGTTTGCCATGATAGAATCCCAGTGTATGGGCACTTGGGCAGGTATATTATAACTTTTTGTATTAAATAGTCTCAGTGATGGTTATCTGATTCTGTTCATTAAAGGGAATTTATACAATGTTCAATGTTATTTATTTTTAACTATGCACATGAAAAAGGTTGGCTTGATTTAAATAATCTTATCAATGTGTAGTGTTCTTTAGGAAAAAAATAATGTATTTGTATAGTTTGCGGTGGTATATGTATTTGTATTAAATGTATACACATATTTAACCACCTCGAAGTTGGATGTACTACATCTCTATTTTAAGATCCCGCTCACACAAATAAATGGTTGTTATACCCGGTAGTCAGATACATGGTAGTGAATGCAGGCTGTCATGCACTCACAGCGGGGATTTACCACTACATTGCATTTCTAGAAGACACAAAGACATATGTGTCTGCAGGTGGAGTCCGTTGACATGGACTTTTTTTGTACTTTCTGTACTTGACTGCTCTGCTTGTGCATAACAGCCTTTGTTTGCCTTCTGAGCCACAGGTGGCAGATTCTGTCTTGGAAGTCACAGGTACACATATGCATGAGCCTTGATCTCAGAACTGCTGACATTTTTTGTAATTACCTAATCATTATATACTGCAATTTGCAAGGCATTCTGGTTAATTACATTTTAATACGCATCAAATTCCGTACCAGTGACATGAAAATATGGTATAAAATTACATGATGCACAGACAGAATATAATCTTTCCAAACGTGAATTGAAAAAGGCATTACAAAATACAGGAACTTGGGCACTCTAGGTGTAGACAAACAAGCTTATGGAACATCTGTTTTTTTTGAAGCTGTGTGCTTATGAGGAGGATTATGCACTCATTCCAAATGTCCAGATAATTACTGTCTCTTACTGCAGATAATCAAACATATAAACAAAAAAGATCTGCGCCAGTGATGATGCAAAAAAAAGGTGAAAAAGAGCTACTAAGCACTAAAATGATATCTGATATAATTCAAAATATACATGCAATAATGTGCCGAGCTGAAGAAACAATCAAATATAAACAGTGAAAAATACAGCAATGATTATAGGCTGAACTCAAACCACATAACATACACAGTGAAATAAAGTCCAAAAAGAATCAAACGATGCGGTGCAGATAAAAAAATCATCAGATCGCCAAAAAAACAAAGCAGAAGACACATCGTGCGTACCTTCCAAAAATATAAAATTTGTTAGATAAAAACAGGTACTCACACAATGGCAAGAAATAGCCAGCATATAAGATTCTCACAGGGAATTCACTCAATGTACTAGAGTAAAGCAAATGCAAAAAGGTCTCTCGTCCATGTGGCTCCACTGAAGTGATGACGTCAGATGCTCCGCCATACGTATGTTATGTCCAGCGTGACTTCGTCAGGTGCCTCCTGCTTTTTTTCATCTCGATCTGATGAGCGTATCTACGACCTGAAAGGATCTATTTTACTCTACGGGCCTCCCTCCCCCTCCTTAGAAGGGAAAACGCGCTTGAGATCCACTCTGTGGGTCCACAGACCCAGGTGAGCACTCCTTTGTAATTTGTGCATTCACTTGGTGGAGGTGAAGGACTATCAAAGAGTCTGTTGTCCTGCACACTATAAAGTCTGCTTCGGAGGACTGCTCATGTTGTTTGTACACGTTACATCGTTTGATTCTTTTTGGACTTTATTTCACTGTGTATGTTATGTGGTTTGAGTTCAGCCTATAATCATTTGTTGTATTTTTCACTGTTTATTAGGGATGCACCGATAACGATACTAGTATCGATATCGGTGCGGATACCGAGTATTTGGGCGAGTACTCGTACTTGCCCAAATGCTCCAAAGCCTAGCACGAGTACTTCCTGTCATTACACGCTGCCCGGTTTCCTGATTGGCCGGGAAGCAGCTCCATGCTCTCTCGACATTTGTTAATCAGCTAGCCGGGTGGCGAGTCTTTACACGCTGCCCGGCTTCCCGGCTAATCAGGAAGCCAGGTGACGAGTCATTACACTCCACCTGGCTTCCTGAATGGGACTTCCGTTACTCGGTAATTGGTATCGGTGAGTACTGGAAAAAAATTATCGGTACTCGGTACCAAAATACCAGTATCGGTGCATCCCTACTATTTATATTTGATTGTTTCTTCAGCTCGGCACATTATTGCATGTAGATAATCAAACATGCTGCTAATGTACCGAAAAAATAGAAAAATATGAAGGATTATTTTTTTAAAAAAAGGTTGTTAGAATTCGTATAAGTTTAGTTTTTACAACCTTAAAGTTAAGCTGTATGCTATTTTTTTTCCTATTGAAAAGTCAAAGTCTTGCCCAAGAACAGACTCCACAAGTTGCGTACAATTGCTTTTATGTGGTTAATCAACATTTACTCCCTCCCCAATCTTTCAATCCGGTCTCTTACAGGCCACTGACGCTGTCTCCTTAGAGACGAGGCAGATTGTAGATGTTTCAATCGGAACAGATTGTCATTTGCGTATGTGCAGTGTTTATGTGGCTATTTTTGTTGTACGCAAATGCCACGAATTGATTTTTCGTATTCGTCGTATATAGGTTTCGACAAAATTTTTCTAGTCTGCCCGTTCAGCCAAATTTGTCCAGTTGTACAGCAATTGCGATCATGCACTTCCCATCAACTGGCCGATTATCAAATTATCAAAAGTTTCTAGCACCTACAGGTAGCAGAAGGCATTATTGTGCTGTGTGCTCTTGCAGTGGTTCACATCAAAGTTGATGTAAGCCGTAACAGTATTACATTTAGTTTGCTAAAACACTATTTATAATACACTTTTTTCATTTTTTTGTACACACATCTTTTTCATGCTTCGTTGCTTCTCAGTGCTGCTAATCTTTAGTCTCTTTACAACTTCTCCCCATGAACATAAGTTCACTCCAGCGATGGCTTTTCTCAGGGCAGGTTTTCTGATGTGACAACAGTGGTCCATGCCCGTGTAGTGTATTTTGAAAGGGCCACTAGTAGTCTCCATTGGAAGCCTTCATGGCAGGGTTACAAGACAGGAGCACAACTGAGAAACAGGGACAGAGCATTTTCACCCTATAACAGGAAATGCTCACAATTATATTTGCAGGTTTAATATGGTTGAAAATTACTTTTAAAATAATATTACCATGTTAAAGGTTATTAGATTTTAGTGATGGGAGTTTAAATATTCGTTAGGTGTATTAATTTCAAGTAGTGTCTACGTTTATGCTCATTCTTACAGTACTACCTAATAATAAGCAGGTATGTATATAGATGTTTACCAAGCATCTCTTATGTTAAATATTAAAAACAAGTTAGCAATTCTTTATCATCTAGTACTTTCTTAACCTTGCTCTCTTCTAAATTCGGCACTTTCACCTGTCCAAACTCTTAAGTATACAGAAAGAGAGGTAATTTCTAAGGTCACTCCATTTGCACGTTTTAATAAAATAGTCGTAACGTTCACACCTTGTGTGAAAGCTGGGCAACACCTTATAGTTTACTACAGCAATACGCATTTTATCCTGTTAATTGTGCTTCCAACAGCCACACGCAGGAGCTGTTGGAAGAACCTGCTTTACGATGTATGAGTGATGAAAGGATAGGCAACTTGAGGCATGCTAGGGAGGGCACATAATGTAATTTTCAGTGGCACCTGTAAGATTGCCATGTGTCATGCACAGACACTTAAACTGGCCTGCCAGAGGATCCTATGCTGGACTACTTCACCCTATAAATGCAGCGTCACTTCTATAGGCTATAATTGCAAGCGTTAATAGCCTGTCACTCTACACCCACATTTTACCCACCTTGATTATGTACAAGAGGCCCACCTGACATCACTGAAGTTCAAGTGCTGGCCCTCCTCCCACTACCAGGGTAGGCTGTCCTGAGGCTGCAATCATTGATAATTGATGAAGCCTACCCTTGTGCCCTCTTTCTACTCCTAATGGAATCGACAGCTGCAGCAGGTATTAATGTAAAATGCCTGAGTTTTTGATGCAGGGATTGGGGCTGATCGAAGGTCTGAAGGTACATGAATTGAGGCTGATCTGAGGTCTTAAGGTGTAGAAATCGGGGCTGATCTGAGGTCTCAAGGTGCCAGAATGGAGGCCAAGAATTTGAAGGTGTTGCTTCACTATTTGCAAGGACTAGCAAATACTTTAACTCTTCTACCATCACCAAAGTTGACTTCCCCCATTGTACATGCCCTATAAAAAGTTGCTTCTGGGATAGTGCACTATACCCTGAGAAACTCTGCACTAGGGATTTTTTTTTTAACTCAAGCAGACCCTGGGATGCATTGTCTCCAAATGCTTCATTATTCAGTTATTATCGAATGTACAAGTTTTAAACAAATTTTGTTCTATAGGTAGTTTGTAACTAAACTAAATGAACAAAATAGCTGAAATTCTCTTTTGATGTAATGGTAAATAACATTGGTTGCAATTATGTGTTTTAGTTTTCAGTTATTCTTTTTTTATTTCCTTAATTTCAAGGACTCCAAACCTGTTGTTATTGAACCTTCTCCATCATTAAGTGGCAGCCACCAATCTTTGGGGACCTCTTCATTGGATCAAAGGGAAGATGCCCGGGCAGGGACTAATGTACATGGCACTACAGAAGACAAATCTTCCGATAACATATCTACTGCTTCGGAAGCTTCCGAGTCAACTAACAGCAGTAAGAATAAAGGCTGTTTCCAAGCAGAGCTTTTATGTCTAGTTTCATCTGAGGTGAAGTCCACAGGGAAATGAATATGTTTTCCATTACACAACACAGTAGAAAAGATGGTCGAAAATCAGATGAGACGGCTATAGATTTCTGTTGTATGCGATCATAGGTCCCTGAAGTTTTAATCCATTTGCTCTGAGAGAGAGCGCAAGAGACAAGTAATGCATTTCACAGTAATTTCCATTCAGGCATAGGCCTGCATTGCAGTTATCACTTTGGGTGACGCTGCCAAATAAACCAAACACAAGCAATCAATATCTGCATAGGGTTTTCTTCACAAGCATAACCTTGGACAAGGTTTATTTTGCCTTTCTTGATGGTTTGTCCATTAACCTTTAAAATGTGAAGTATGTATTTTGTTACAAGGTTAAAAACTCATTTTAGTTCAGAGTATAGATATTTAGCATTGTTATTTTGCCACACATTTTTGAAAAATATAGATAGTGTTTCAGTTACACAGTGATAGCTTTTCTGTATTTCAAATAACAGGACTTCTGGGTAATCACAATCACCACAAGCCTTCTCCTCCCGTTGAAATTGACATACATTATCAGATTTGTTTATATATAGACGTGTACTCCCATGCATCCCATAAATAATTTGATGCATTTTTAAGAATGTTTTTTTTTCCATTGAATGCTCTTGGGTTGGATCATCTACAACCTTCTTATATCTCTCAGGGACTTTGGCAATGTGATCCTTGCATCAAAGTTCCCAGCTCCACCAATTTCTGCAGACTTTAAGATGAAAATCTTACACTGCTTTGGTATTTTTCATTGACTCTACATTTTGGAAAATGGAGCTCGGACGGTTCAAAGATGAGGAGACTATGGCACTAGAATCTCTGAGTAATATAAGAAGTTAGTGGGTGAGCATCCCACCAGTGTTCACCCATTGATTAAATGTCATGTTCTGGTGGGCTGACCCTTTAAAACTTTGTTGGTACCATCTGTTTTCTTATGAAGTATTTTAGGGTGCACTCTATTATAGCATCAATACTCGTAGACGCTCGACTAAGAGCTAGATGAAACTAAATTGGTGCATTCAGCATCTCAGATGCTATTAGAGCTAAGCTAAATGTAAATGAACAGTAACAGCCATGTCTGTATGTTTTTATACACTGCGTCTGGGGAAACACTCAGACACTGGAAAGCATGAGATTAGAGGCTTGTGATTAACCACTTTATGACATGGTGTGCATCTCTGCAGTTGGTAATTATATGCTACATTTTCATGATTAAGCATTTTGGGAACAATTGTTTTGAGGTAAAATGTGCAATACCTGCAGAAACCTATGTCTTATTTTATATGTTTTGTAACTGACATTTTCAGTTAAAATAATACTTATCCATATGTCTTTCCCAGCTTTGTTTTATTCCAGCACAGCAGGTGCAGACATGTGCTTTGCACGTCAACATAACACTTCAGATAACAATAACCAGGGTATGATTGGTGCCAATGGCTGTATATTATCGCAGCTCAATCCACAGAAGCCAGGTGCAATTGACAACCAACCTTTAGTAATGCAAGAGAATGTAAAGGTATGTTGTATGTATGCGTCAAATATATAAATTACATTGCTTTCATTCCTAAAAGGGGTTTTTCAGCTAAATCTGCAAGTTGCCCATTGCTTTTGAGCCATTACTGTGGCAATTTCACCTTTACTCCTCAGTTTCCAGTGCTAGGACAAGTGATTGGAGGAGGCTATCACCATTCTACTCTTTCAGTGCAATCAGTACATGCATCTGTGTAGAGGCGGACAAAGGCAACTAAGGGCTCCTGTGCAGATATCCTGTTTGGGCCTTCCATCCCCTAGACTTCACATTCACATGGCTATAAATAGCTAAGGCAAGTAACACTTGCATGATAGCTCATTGAATTGTGAGATACAATAATGATCTTTGAGAAAATGCTAATTTCAAGTAAAAAAAGGAAATTTCACTCCAAAATTATAATTACTGTTTGTTTGTAAACCTAATGTTACATAGCTTTCATGTTTGTGCTTCATCAATGCATTATACTGTATCATGCCATTACAGCAAATCGTGTAACTAGTCACAAGAACGTATCGCACTGTAATAGCAAATTACATCAACTGGCCAATGCACCCAATAGAATGGTGGTCAGTGTAAATTCCCATGTTATATTGCTCATCAGTGTAAATTCCTATCTTTCAGTGGAAATTTCCCTCTGTTACACTAGTGGCCAGCATTAATTCTCCCATTACCGAATTGAATTTCCAAGTCATTCATGTTCAATGTGAAAAGGCCCTATTACGTTCGTGTCATTACTAATTGGTGAGAGTGGGAAAGAGCCCCTTTTATTGGTGATCAGTGGTTACTTAACTGAAACAAGGTGCTCTCTAGACACGCTTATTCCTGCACCATCTGCAGTGGAAGCATGAGGGTACCAGCAGATAAAAATAAATACCTAAATGTGAAGGCTACAAAGGACAAGTCTCCTCTCCTCAATTATAAATGAAAAAAAAAATGTTTTTAGAAATGGTTTAAAGGACAAAATGAGAGCTGATCTAAAGGTTTTTGCCCATTTTTTTGAGCTTTTACAAGCAACAGACAGATTTGGGAAGCGTAGCATTGTACAAATATCACTGCAATGCAAAATATTTATTGATAGTAGTAAGCTAAGATTTTTATGTTTATGAAGGTGGTTGGATAAGCAGCTAATTACTGTACTGAATGCAGCAACTTAATGTATGAAACCTCCAGTGTAATTCTAAAATTGGTACCCATTACTACACTTGAATACGCTGCCATATGATCATAGGAGATTAGTCCGTTTTAGACAAAATAAAACTACTGCTGAAATTGAAGTGTAATCAACAGCAAATGGATTTTGAATTGTCAAGTTGTTAGAGGCATTCATTTGATAGCTTCTTCGGGCAGTGTGCTTCTAGCTTATTTTGCCTTCTTCTGTATACAAAGTATAAAATAACAGTTGAACATCTGAATTTTTCACATTTGGCTTGACCACACATGGCCATATATTTTAAAAATGTGGCCAGTGGATTGCTACATCATTTGGCTGGATAATGTGACATAGGAACTAATAATTTACCCAATGGTAGTTTATGTAAGAAAAACAACATCACCCAGAAGATATTCTCCTTTTGGAGAGTGTTATTTGCATAGGATTCCCAGTTAGAATTCTGTAAAGTATCCCTACTGATACTTTGGGGAAGCCTCTTCTGTGACACTTCACATAATGACTAGATTATCCTTACCCATGCTGATAGGGCACATTAGGCCGAAAAGGTATTGTCCATGAGTTGGTGTTCTGGTCCAGCCAGGGCTGTATGATTGATTTACCCTTTTGCTTTCAATTTTTCACCTTAGGAGGCCAGACCATTTTTGCATTGTTTCCCTTTTTTAATTTTATCACTTACAGCTTTCAAAGTTTGTAAAAGACCTCCAAACTATACACTTTCTGAAAGCACAGTAAAATAGATGGTGCTACTAATTTTGTAGGTCCTGTGATAGTTCCACAAATGTTTATCAAGATTCCTACAAAATATAAAGCATAAAACATTTTTGAGTTAGTAAATAACAAATATTCACCCCTGCTGCCCGGCACTTACTGCTGAGCATGGAAATGCTCCGTACTGAGTTTTTCTATGTTCATTCACATTCTGAAGGAGGTTGTTAAACACACCACTTGTGTTCACACATCTCCTTCCGTTTATGAATGAACATGGAAGTGTTCAAAAATTCTGTGTTCATTCACACATTGAAAAAGATCGGTAAACATGAAAGGCATGTTTACCATGACCTCCCCGCTCGTCATTCTAAGAGTGGCATGAAGCCGCAATGCCAGTTTCATCAGTGGTAATGGCTGGGGAGTCTGCGGCAGTACAGGAGGAGGGCACATAGAGGCTGTGGGAAAAACGGCACTACAGCAGGGACACAAATGCTTGTCAGCTGCTGATCACAGGTATTCATTAATCAGGAGAATATAGGGCATGCTTCTGCTGTAGGTTCATGGTCGCTGAAGCGACCATAGGGGGTATTTATCAAACTGGGGCTGTTGACCATAGGAATCAATCAGATTCTCTCTTCAGTTTGTTCAGTTAAGCTTTAAAAATGAAAGATAGAAGTTGATTGGTTGCTATAGGCAACTGCTCCAGATTCTGTCTGCTTGAGTTTTGATAAATTCCCCTCCATGAGTCTATAGCCGAAGCAAATGCTGGCTTCGGTTTCGGAGCTTCTTAACTTCAAGCAGGTTTGTTCTGTGTTGTGTTGGTGGCAGTGAAAGGGTTAAAGTAAAACTTAAGCCAAAACTTGTTTTTCTTTTCACTTTAAACATCCAGTGGGTGGAGCATTTGTTTACAGGCCTGTCATGTAAAACCACCTTTAGAAGGGTGTTATTTGTATTTAGTATACCTGTAGCATCTGAAAAACAATTTTCTACTATTTGCAATGCATTTTTCTGTAAAAGTTTATTTTTAATTTTTTTCAAGGTCCCTTCTTTGACACTGGAAGGTGGGAGATTAAAGCAGACTCCATCTCTAGTCCGTGCGAAGGATTATGAAATTGTACCAGAACCAGTATGGAGGGCACTTTACCATTGGTATGGAGCAAATCTGTCTTTACCTCGACCAGTAAGTAACAGTCGTCAGTCCTGGAGTACATAGTGAATATAATTTTTTGAGCACGTATCTGATATAAACATGATTGATATATGTATCTAATTAGTTTTGGTGCACATTTTTTCAGGTGTGTGTGTGTATATCATTTTTTTGTATTGACTCTACTATAAGTCATCATTGTTTTATATTACAGTCCTTGGAACTGTATATTTTTCACTGTGACATTTATTTTGCAATGTCAACAAAAATAAGAACTCAAATCGGTTAAAGGAGAACTATGAGATGAGTGATTTCCACTCACCTCATAGTTCCAGCCGACCTGTGACAATGAGACTGTCACAGGTCGGCTCAGTAGATCGGGAGGTGAGCGAACACATACCGGGTTCGCTCCCTCTGGATTCCCCTCTCCCCAGTCCGATCTGCCAGCGCTGACTGGCGGAATGGACGGGGGAGGGGGCGGGTACAGCTGCCTCTGCCTCTAGATAGGCAGAGCCAGCTGTCACTCACGCAGCTGGGCGGATCTCGACGTCGAGGTCGGGATCCGCTCCGGCGTCTCAGTATACCGCGAGCTGTAGCTCGCGATATACTGAGCTTAGGGTAACGGGAGGACGCTAGTTTGTGTCCTCCCGTTACCCTAAGGAGAACTATGGGGAAAAACACTGACCCCATAGTTCTCCTTTAAACACATAGTTGGAATATGATTTATAATTGTTGTGCTTTACTCTCCTCTGAACATCACTAATGTACAGCCAGGTAGATAAGACACTTATTTCATAGTTCAGCAATACAGCTTCCTGTGCCATGTCTGTCACCAGCCTGATCATTGGACAGTAAATGAACATTATTACTTATGTCCAGTGAGCAGAGTGCTGACCCGGGAACCAATAATAGTAAATCAGAAAGCAGCAACGTGATATTCCTGGTCTGTGCATCACTGGAATTACCAATGCTTTAGCAGGTAAAGACAATTAACATATATGAATTTGATCTGTGTATTTACTGCCTTACCTGGGTTACACTTTAAATAGGAAATCTGCTTTAAAATGAAAGCAGTAAATGAACATTATTACTTATGTCCTGTGAGCAGAGTGCTGACCCGGGAACCTGGTCTGTGCATCACTGGAATTACCAATGCTTTAGCAGGTAAAGACAATTAACATATATGAATTTGATCTGTGTATTTACTGCCTTACCTGGGTTACACTTTAAATAGGAAATCTGCTTTAAAATGAAAAATGTGAGCAGGTAGGCTTTTAATTGCAAAAGAAACCTATGTCTTGTCTGCAATAAAATTTGTCTTACCTGCCTGTTTGCAATCTTTTTCCCTAAATTGAGCACTGAGCTATACTTGCGCAGCTTGGTGTACGTTTGTGGTATGCTTTGGTGTCAGGATGAATAAGTTAAGTCATGCCAGCCAGGTCAATCAAGATGGCAGATGATCCCAAACCCTAAAGATGGGGCGAAGATTCCAGGGAAGGGTGTGCATGAGGGCATATTCTTGAACTTTTCCAGCTTACTACTTCCAGGGTAGTAATTCAGTGAGTAGAACTGAAAGAATGTTTTACGTTCAGGAGCAAAGAAAGCCTGTGCCCTGTGGTCCACTAAGCTCCATTCGGTGCTTAAATAGAACTAAGGTCTAATCACGTTTCCATGTGGCAGCACTGGACCATTTACCAAGCACTAGTTCTGTCACATGCTCCTCCATACCATATTTTCAATAATGTCTTCATTACCAGTGGCTGAACACTGGTAAGTGGGGGAGTGAAGAAAAAGGGACTATGTGTTGCTGGCAAGGGGAACATTAAAGCAAACCTTTAAAGGGGTTATTATGTGCGAGTACCTTTTTTTATTTGTTGTCTATAATCGGGACCGGATTTACTCTCTCTGCTGCCCCAAGGCCAGGCCCTCCCCATGGAGAATTGCAGATCTGCAGGCTGCATACAATGTCACCGAGATCACTTGTACAAAACAAGCGGTGGCTTCCTCGCTGTACATTTAGCTCTGCTTGCCCAGAGCAGGGCTAAATGTAGAAAACAACTACCCGCCCGGGCATCAGGAGATAGGAATTCCACACGCCTGCTGCCCTTTCTACTCCCTGCTGCCCCAAGGCCCGGCCTTGGTTGGCCTTGTGGGAAATTCGGCACTGTCTATAATACTAAAACTATTAGAGATGTTTACTGCATCTTTAAAACAAAACATCTTCTTACATTTATGTTTCTGTATTTTTTTCCTTAGGTAATCAGAAATAGTAAAACCAACCTCCCAGAACTGGAGCTCTTTCCACGTTATTTGCTTTTCTTGAGACAGCAGCCTGTGACCCGCCAACAGCAGTCTAACATCTGGGTGAATATGGGTATGATGAGCCTGAGAATGTTTCCTCACCATTTACCTAGAGGTAATGTAAGAATGCAGCAAGAATGGGATGGCACTTTTCATGCCACTAGCTCTGCAACCTGCATTTTTAAATTTATGGGGCTTTAACCTAAGGTCATGCACAAGAAAATGATTCTTTCCTAAATCAAACCTAAAAGTTCCTGTAAATTGCAGAACATTTGGAACTTTTTTGGATTATTTGCACAATTTCAGAAATGTGTGTTTGAATTTTTTACATATGCCTCTACAGGTCTTACTTCATTCTTAGAGCTAGATTTATTTAATCACTGCCACCAGTCTGATTTTAGACTTTCAGGGCACCTTTGCATCTGATTCACGGCTGTGCAGAAGTAATTCCAGTTCTTGGTACGGTACTTAAAGGGACATTAAACCCTCAGATTTTTTAACATAAACCAATACTGTAATGTGTGCCTTACTGTAATCCATGGTAGTTTCCCTTCTCTTTGCTGCTCTTCCTTTTAAATCTGTATCTGTTCTCATGCTGGGCAGAACTTCTGTTTTGCAGCAGACTGCCTTGTCTCTGAAATGGATACATGGTGTCTGTGTGTTGGTTTGCAACCTGAGCCAGCACTACAGGAAGAGGCACTCAGCAGCAAAGGGAAGTTCTCCCCAAGCATGAGAAGACATGAGGATTTAAAAGGAAGAGCAGCAAAGAGAAGGGAAACTACCATGGATTACAGTAAGGCACACATTACAGTATTGGTTTATGTTAAAAAATCTGAGGGTTTAATGTCTATTCTATATAGAATGATTAAAGGCTATAACTATCCAAAACGCATATTTCAGTATGGATGTTGGTGCTAGCAACTAATTGGCTGTGTAGTGGAGACAGACCCATAAGAGGGAGAAGCAAAATTGCATACATGTCCCAGAGGGAAAAGCAAAATTTCATACATGTCCCAGAAATCAGCCAAGGTCCACCCTTTTGGATTCCCTATGGGACAATGAGAATCCATCAATGGTAACTGTTCTTATAGTGAGCAACATAGAATGGCTGTGATAGTGAGATCCAGAGAGTTGAGCTAAGTGGACCTAGCCTTTAAAGCTGAACTCCAGTCAGTTATAAGAAATAAAACACCACAAATTGTTTCAGCTTTGCATTTGTTTATACATCATTGAATGTAGTTTTTTTGAAATGCAAGTGCCTGATTTTGACTTGGTATCAGCCTCTTGCAGGCCCTGCAAAGCAATACTCTGACTGAGAGAGGGAGAAGCAGCACAAGTAGCCAGTCATCTGAAATGCAGTGATTGTGTGCTTACAAAAAGCATTCTTATTAGAATAGAAGGCATAGTGACAGAGAGATGAGCTAATCAGTCTGCTGCTTCTCCTTGTACCCTCCAGTCACATGCTGGTGGAAGGGAGTAGACCTGTAATACGGGCCATCAGATGCAGTCTTTGTTTGGTATCACCAGTGTATTTAGACAGGCGTGGATACTAAATACAGAATCCAGCAGTGGAGATAATACTAAAGAGAATGGATGGGGGAATTGATTGATTTTTCTCCCATTCAGCCACTAGGCAGGATAAGAAAAAAATCAAGCTATATACAGCTAGACTTAGTGTTACCTAACTCTGGAAGAGAAAACTTATATCTTCTGTCCCGCTCTGCTGCCTGACAGAGCTATGTGAATCTCCGCTCTGGATGGACAACAATACACATCGTATGGAAAGTTTGCCTGGAGTTGAGCTTTAAAGTAATTAGTTCTGTAGGCAGATCATTTTGTTATATATATATATATATATAGTATGTATATAATATTTTTGGATCTGTAGGCGTATCAGAGTATGATCATGTCCATTGAAAATATTTGAACGTATAATTAATGCCAGTTATACATTTCATAATGAACCACCTAAACTTGTTCTTGTGCGGACTGTAGGTTTCACTGTCCATTGCTTAGAGAGCCTGTTTATTATTTGATTCCTTGGTTGTAGAGATTGACGCTAAATGTCTTTCTTTGGCATATGTGGCTTATTTACCTTCCAACCAAAACTAAATTTTACACTTTAATTTATGACCAGACCAATTAAAAGCTTGTTTAATTTGAAATGAATCTTGGGGACATTTTAGTTTCTTTTATTTGCTCTGCACTAATTATTGTCAAATCAGTGATTAATCTTGGGTTTAAAAAAAAGTATGCTTTCTTGCTGTAATCTTACAACTAATCCTCTTACCTGTAATTGCTTTTTCTTTTTTAAGGGATATTATGTTGCAGTGTGGGGGGTACTGTTAAGGTAACATTTTTGCTTTGCTACTCAGAATGCAGTTTTGTGTAGCATTGTGTGAAATTAGTGTAAAGATATTGCATGCCTTTATCGGAAATTGATTGTTGCACATATACAATCACAGTAACAAGAAAGTTTGAAATTTGCAGAAATGTATGTATCCTGTTTCATATTTTTACAAAAAAGTGCACTCATTTGCATATTCTGTACGAGGTGGCCTACTTAGAAACCTATACACAGATATCGTATGAGTTACAGTTCTCCGCACTTGTAGACGTGATGAGAAATGTTAGTGAAATAACTTCTGCATTGCTATGTGGCAAAAGCTCACCTGGATTTCTTCAACTTCATGCCACATAAAAGGAACATAGGAAAATTAGCTTCCTATACCACAGAGAACAATTGTGATAGAGTCATTATAAATTAATGTTCCAAAGTGTATGAAGGTTTCCAGCTGTTTAGTATTTGTAAACTTTACATTTAGACATCATCAAGAATAGCAGATGGAATTGTGTTAGCTAAAAGCTTTAAAACACCATTTGAATCTCGGTGAGATGTTATTGTTCTGTTCTCTGCAGGACAAAAGCAGGCCTTAATACATGTAAATATTTCTATGTCACTTGGCAGACATAGAGCTTTTATATGTTTTGATAAAAGCTCTGCAGCCTAGTCATACCAGGAAGCACACTTCTGAAGTGTATTTTAAAGGTAACACTTAATCCATGCAAATATTGATGTTTATGTGTACAGAATAGCAAGCAGCATCATTTGTTTTTACCGCCTGATAGCTTAAAAGGGAAACTATAATGGGTTTAGGTCAATTTGTTTGTACATTTTAACCCCTTCGTGACTGACGACGTACAGTGTACGTCGCCAGCATCGGGGCTGTTTATACAGACTCCCGGCGACTTTTGCCGATTTGGAAGTGGACTCGAGAAGAACAATATATACAACATTACTATACAGTCCATATTTCTGCATTCTTGGTACACCGTCAACTAGCTATAGTGTTTCTGACTGCTAGGAATATTTTTGAAGAGTTAATTTTGAAAAACCTTGTTACAAAGCAGAAATTGCTAATAAAAATTGTCCTTATTTGTTGCACTGTGGTATCTTCCCTCTTCAAATAATTACACTGCATGGTGGGCATTCATGGTAAAGCTGCTTTACTTGCCTGGTGACCTTACTAACATATCCAGTCCTGGCATCCATTGTGGTGGAACATAGGCTGAGGTATATCTGGAGGTTTGGCAGTACTGAGGCAACAAAGAAATCTTTTGTCACTGCCCTTTGTTGTAAATTACCTTGCCAGAGATGCAACTCATTGGGTAAGGGTATAGAGGGGCACACACCAAGTCTGCTGTTCGCTGCTGGTCACTATTACTCCTGACCTTCCTAACATAGGGCATCGTAGCACTTTAGGGGTATGAGCTTGTATGAGAACTGATACTTCACTAAACCCCCTTTTGTGTTTTAAATTCTAAAAGTATATATTGCCTATTGTGACTGATCATATTCTTTTTTTTAATGCTTGATGGCCTTATTTTTCTTATTGAATATTAGATATTCATAGTATTGGTGCCTGGCTCTTCGATGTAGAGTTAATAACTTTATTGCAAAGGTCCATTAATTCATTCCTATACCAAAACTTCTAAAGTTAAGACCCTAAACTGTTGACTTTGCCTCTGGGCAGGTTTATGTATCTGTCAATAGATTAGCTGTTAGGTGACATTACATTATAATTATTGCATGTCAATAGTATGAAACATAGTGTTTAAATCATATTAATGATAACTAAAGTCAGAACGTATGTAGCCATTAAAATATGTCTGGCAAGTTTTTTGTGCCCTTTTAGTTTTAAGCCCTTTTTTTGTTTGGGAATCAAAGTTGTTTACTAATCCTTTACCAGAAGGTGTTCCTTTTATGCTTGATTCTCATTGAAATCATTAATCTCTGTATAACAAATCTAATTTTGGTTGTGTACAGTGGCATGCCACTGTGTTCATATATCCAGGGGAACTCGCCAAAATGGCCAATTTAGAAGACACTCAGTGATGGAATTCTTAGCTCTTTCTTTAAACATCAGAGAAATGTGTGCAATTTTAAAAATTAAGACCACATTGCATAGTGCAGAACCTGGGCATTCATAAAATATCCTTTCTAAATCTTTATGCAGATGTGTGTTACACACATGAATAGATATATAACAAGCTCGTATGACAGACCTTAAAGTGTATGTAAACCTGAATTATTTTTTTTAGTATGTTTGGCATTGTATTTCAATATACAGTCTTATGCAAATTTGTTACTTCAAGAACTTGACTCACCAATTATATGTCTCCCAAAACAGTTACTTTTCAGGCATGTCAGATGTCAAGGTCACCAGTGCTTATTACATCTCTCAGATGAACTTTCAAACCCTCAAATGGCTGGTGTCATAGCTGATCACATGTGCAGCACCATGGCAGCTCCAATCCAAATAGTGGCTAAGATGGCACCTTCCTTGGCCGTAAGGGATAGTAGTTGGTACTTGCGCTTTAAGAAATCAGATGGGCAGCCCAACTAATAGGAGCACACATGTTAAACTGACAACACTGCAGCTAATTGTTAAGCAGCATCTTAGCATTGTCAGCCTGCAACATGAGGTGCTATTACTGGTAGGATCTCCAGGTAAAAAATGTATTACAAATTAAAAAAAATATGCTTAAGAAAACTGTAAATGGTGAGACATGATGTCAAACATACTAAAATAGATTTAGGGGTACACTTAAAAAAATTATTGATGTCCTTTTGCGCACAGTAACATGCGAGATACTCTAAATGTCTTTCTCAAATGGCCCTACTTATTACTGGGTATGGAAAATAAGGCCATCCAGCAGACACTTATATCTGTATATCGTTAAAAGAGGAATGTAACTAATTTTAGATGCGCTAAAAAACTAGCCATGGTAATATGAATGAATATGCAAGTCATGCTTCTTCTGTATGGAAACAGGAAATGTGCCATCTCCAAATGCTCCTCTGAAGAGAGTTTTGGCGTATACCGGATGCTTTAGCAGAATGCAGACCATAAAAGAAATCCATGAGTATCTTTCTCAGCGACTGCGCATCAAAGAAGAGGACATGCGATTGTGGTTGTATATTAGTGAGGTAATCAGTGATTGGATTTATTCTTCCTTCTTAAGCCGTGTCAAGTTTTCACTGCTAACGAGGCCTATGACCTCTTCCTAGTCTATCCACAACTCATTGTGACTTTAGAATTTTGTTGTTGTTGTTTTGTTAATATTATATGGGTAACAAAAAAATACCTTTTTTAGTTTTGGGTGGTAAATTTTGGTTCTTGTTGAGTTAGAATCTTTAGATAGTGGCTTAGGAAAAGGGTCATGTTGCCAGTGGTCAAATCAGGAGGATACAGTAAGCATGCATGTGAGACCTTTTGTACCAACACTACTATGTCCAGCTGCCCTTGATCCATTTGATCACATATACCTATATGTGTTTGGTACCATAGTTGTTAGTCTTACTTGAATCTCTTTTAAGTGTGATAGAAGTTTCTGTGAAGTACATATAATGTGCTATGCCCAAGGTGGAGGGGGCACTGTCCCGGGAAGAGGAAGCAGAGCTGTCGGGGGTCACTTCTTCTAGACCCAAGAGGCATCTACTTGGCCGCTGGTGTTAGGCATATATTTAACTCTGTTATATAGAAGATACATAAATATGTGTGTGTATATATATCTATAGATCTATATCTATAGATATATGGATATATATCTATAGATATCTATAGATATCTATAG